TGTATGCCGTGTGGAGTTGTGTGTGTGTGTGTGTGTGTGTGTGTGTGTGTGTGTGTGTGTGTGTGTGTGTGTGTGTGTGTGTGTGTGTGTGTGCCACCGACAAACACTCTCCAATTTCTCCCCATCTTGGGTAAACTTGACATTTTTCCACGTCATTCCACTTATTTATTCATCATTATCTGTGACTCTTCTCCAGGTTCCGCGTGACCTTACCATTGATTTTTATCCCCTGTGAATTCCAATTCAACACTCTCTTTGTTATGCAGCTGCCTAGTTTTCCTCAAGGTATGTCAAATCCACCACCACCACCTTCTTCCACATCATCTACGATTGGGCTCTGTCTTAGTCTCCTAACAATTCCTCGATGGTGACTCTGTATGTCTTATGAAAACATGGATCCTTTTTACTCAAGTCTGAGACGTTTAATGCCTCGTTCGTGGCCCCGTCTGTCCATCTGATCTTGAGTAACCTTTTCAGACACCTGTTGCTGAAAATCTGGATCCTCTTTACGCAAAATCAGATGCGCTCCATGCCTCACACCCATACAACAAGACTGACTTCACATTAAATGAGTTAAAAATCCCCAACTTTGTTCGGGGCGAGACAGCATAATGTTTTTGTGTGCGGATAGAAATGGGTGTAGTATGTGTTTAAGGCGAGTGTGGGATTTCGTTGGTTAAATTCTAAAATATGTGTGCTTGTGTTGTGTCGTTTTCGGGCCAAGGAGGAGAGGAATGTGTTTTAAAGGGAGATTATAGCCGTGATATATTACACAATAGATACTTTCAGAGCATCTGGCGGACCATTGCTGGTCATTTATTAGACACAAACCCTTCATTTAAAGCTGTGGCAAATTTCATCAATGTTTTGTTGATTTAAATTTGGATCCTCTTTCTTTCATCGTTAAATGCAAACAGTCAAGTCAATTAATCCCTTTCACTCGATAAGGCTCTGTAAGTCTCCTTTGCCTTTAAAACGAAACTGCAAGAAACTTTGAGGGAAAACCGAAGAGAAACGAGTCAGAACGGGGAGGGGGGGGTGGTAAAGGCTCATTGGAATTAACTTTTAGTACAAATATTTGTTTTGTGTATATGTTTTGAGAGAGAGAGAGAGGGGGGGGGGGGAGAGAACTCATTTGCGTTGGACGGATAGACCTTTAAATGCATCTTAAAACCATTTTTAGAGGTAGATCGG